TCACACTCACACTCCTACACACCTATGCTTACACCTACCCACACATCCAGTCACATACACACACTCACACCCACAAATGTACACACACTCACGCATATGGTGACACACAAATACACTCACACATACAGCAACACACATATATAAAGCCATATATACACATATACATACACTGATATACACATATACTCTGATACACTCATAAACATGCTTACCCACACTCATATGTACACACACCATCACTCACACCCATTCACATTCATGCACACTCAGTCACTCACTCATTCACTCACACACACACTCATACACACTCCCTCTCACATACTCACACTCAGATCCAGTCTCTCTCTGTCTCACGCCCTCAGTCCCTCACACACACACACACACACACACACACACCATGGTTCTGCTGTGCTCTGTCCTCGGTGGCTGTCCCTCTCACATATTCACACTCAGATCCAGTCTCTCTGTCTCACGCCCTCAGTCCCTCGCGCACACACACACACACGCCATGGTTCTGCTGTGCTCTGTCCACCGTGGCTGTCCTGCGATGGCAGTGAAGGAAGAGCGTGAAAACTCTGTGGGGGCTTTTGACAAGTTCTCACTTTAGAATCTATCACAAAAATAATTGCGTGACTTAAACCTCTACTAACTCCTTTTTCTTCACCCCCTTAAGGTCTCACACTCTCGGGGCCTTCTGGGCTTTCTCCTTTTCCCTGGGCTAAGGCAAGGGCACATAGCCCCCAACCGGGGCCATTCCAGACCCCCAGGTCCCAGGACGCTGGCAGGAGGGGTTCGGCTGCCACCTCAGCCCTGAGACTGGCCTTGACCTCACCTCTCAGGATGGAGTGCACATCCACCTGGGATGTGTTCCCACTGGGCTCCCATCTGGAACTGTCCAGAGCTGCGAGCCTCTGGCTGTGGCTGGCCTTTTTACCCACCTTCTGTAGTAAGGACACCAGGTCCCGTCAGGGTGTCCCCGACTCAGCGGTGCTCTGTGAGGTTCTCAGTGGCTGATCTGGAGTGAGCGTCCCAGGCCGACCCTCCTCTTGGAGCAGTGCTCGCTGTGGTGTTTCTTCAGCCCTGCACAAGTGTCTGGGAGTGGGTGTCCGCCTCTCTTGGCTGTGTGTGCCTACACTGGCCGTGGCACAGTGAACGTTCCAGCTGTTTCCGTGTGAGCGGGCTGCCTCTCTGCCGTGTCGAGCCAGGGACCTGGCAGCCCCTCTGCTCACTGGTTCTGTCTGGCCCACTGCGCCTGGGCCTGCCTGCGGTTCAGAGAGGTGCTGCTTGCACGGATGGTGGGATGGTGACGGCTGGACAGCACCCCGGCCTAGGTGGCTCTGGGCAGCCGTCCCCAGCCACAGCACTGACCAGTAAATGCCCTTCTCCTCGGAGCTGGCCCTGGTGGAGAGGGTGGCTTATAAACCTGGGCATGGTGACAGTGGCATGTCACAGGGAGTCAACAACTGCCAGGTGGCCAGTGCCTCTGAGAGTGGCACCCCAGAGCCCTGTGAGCAGGACTGCCCTACTGGCGTGGTTGGGGTTTGGTCTGGGGGGTGTTTCTACTGGATAGAGCTCTACTCTGGGCAGGGGACCCCCAGGACAGCAGCTGCATGCTCGTGGGGACATACATAACCACACTGCTAAGGCCACCCACAGGACTCACCTGCCCCCACCCGCACCTACATGCCCGAGGCTGGTTCCGGGCTCCTGGGGAGACATTGGTTCCCACCCCCCATAGACCCCCACAGCCCCTGCCTCCTTCCTGTACTCTCCCTCTGACACTGTCAGATGTCAGCTGTGGCTCAGGATCAGGTCTCTGCAGGGGCACGGGCAGCCCCACGCCCAGGGACCCTGCTCACAAGCATGCTTTACACATGACATCCCTAGGGGGCCCATCACCCCAGGTGCTGACAGGGTTAGCGACTCGCCTGGGGTTGGCCAGTGCGAGTGG